CTTTTTTTTCCCCATTTGACAACGGGGAGGCTTAGAGAAGTAGATCAAATTACTTCTCAAGTGGCAGAGTTGAGACCTGAATCTAGGCAGTTTCTACTTCAGAGCCCAAAGTTTTCACCATCAAGCCATAATGCCTTGGTTAGGTTCACCGAGCCTCTACATTCTAACAGTTAAGAGTAAAACTTCTTCAGCCTACATCTTAAAATAATTCTTTGAAACATAACAACGTTGTGACTCTTAGATTATTTTAAAGGAGGTGAAACTAAAGAATTGATAGATCTGTTTCATCTACTTTCCAATGTAAGTTTCAAGTTTAGAAAGCTACTAGTTTTTTGCTGTTGCTGTTTGTTTTTTGTCCCCAAACAATGTGCATGACCAATATGTGATTGCAGGCCCCAAGGATGGAGTAGGCAGCAAAGACAAGATTGCCAGACAACTGAGGGTCACGTCGTTTTGGACATTTCTTTATCATTTAGTCCTCATTCTGGGCAAACCTTTACATACTTGAAAACTCCTGCAGTAGCCTGGCCCTAGGTGGATGGCAGAGTAAGAAAGGGTTGTCATGGACCAGTTCTTTCCACATCTCCTTTCCATCTGCATGCCAAGGCACTAGCGCTGGTTCTGATCACAGCGCTGAAAAGTATACCAGAAGCAGGAACCAGCAGTTAGCGTAATGGCTATGTTCTGGACTCCCATGTGGTTGACCGTGGTTCACGTCCCAGACCTGGTGGCTTAAAACTCATGCCAGGAGCGTGTGCATGCATGCCCAAGATCCCCAGAGGAGAATGGAGGAGAAGGGATTATGGCATGGCCACCCCCGCCCCGGGGTGTGTATTCTCGCTTTCTGTCTCTCTGTCTCTGTCTGTCTGGTGAGCGCAAGCGCCCTATAGCAAAAACCTCTTCAACAACAACAAAAAAGAATACACCAGAAGCAGATTGCAAAACTGAGAGAAGGGAAAATGTTTTACTTGCTCTAAATGTGATGAGAGCACATTGAAAAAAAGTTTACAGACTATGAGATTAAAAGTGATGTTTCAAGCCAGCAGGTGGCGTGGTAGTTAAGGCACTGGACTCCAATATGCCAACTACAGTTTGAGTCCCAGAACTGGCAGTTTAAAAATCACAGTTTGTGGTGGGGTGTGGGTCCCCAAAATCCCAGGAAGAGAAGAGATTATGGCATGGTCATCCCCCCTGGGAGGATTTCTCGCTTTTCCTCTCACTATCTCTCTTGGTCTCTCTCCAGCAAGTGCATGTGCCTCATGGTAAAAAACAAACAAACCCAACCTAAAAAACAAACACACAAAAACAAAATTTAAAAAGTGATGTTTCCTTATTTTCCATTTCTATAACTTGCTATTTCAAGAATGTTACATAAAGGGAACCAGCAGTTAGCGTAATGGCTATGTCACAGGACTCCCATGTAGTCGACCGTGGTTCGCATCCTGGACCCAGTGGCTTAAAACTCACACCGGGCGTGTGTGCGTGCATGCCCAAGATCCCGAGAGGAGAATGGAGGAGAAGGGATTGCGGCGTGACCATCCCCCCTGGGGGGTGATTTCTCGCTTTCTGTCTCTATGTCTCTCTCTGTCTGTCTGGCGAGCACACGCGCCCTATAGCAAAAAAACCCTCTCCAAAAAAAGAAAAAAAAAAAAAAAAACTCACGTCGGGCGCATGTGCGTGCGTGCCCAAGATCCCGAGAGGAGAATGGAGGAGAAGGGATTGCGGCGTGACCATCCCCCCTGGGGGGTGATTTCTCGCTTTCTGTCTCTATGTCTCTCTCTGTCTGTCTGGCGAGCACACGCGCCCTATAGCAAAAAAACCCTCTCCAAAAAAAAAAAAAAAAAAAAGAAGAATGTTACATAAATGGAATCAGGCACTATGTAAGCTTTGAGACCGTCTTTTTGTTGCGCCAATAACTTATTTCTTTATGTTGCCAAAAAGCATCCCACTGTACAGGTAGGTATACCCAAGTTTGTTTAACCTATTGAAGGACATGCATGGTATTCCCAGTTTTTATTGCTGTTAAGAACATGTTTTTTTTTTCTTTGGAGAGATTTTCACTGTAGGGCACGTGCGCTCGCCAGACAGACAGAGACATAGAGACAGAAAGCGAGAAATCACCCCCCAGGGGGGATGGTCACGCCGCAATCCCTTCTCCTCCATTCTCCTCTCGGGATCTTGGGCACGCACGCACCCGCGCCCGGCATGAGTTTTAAGCCACCGGGTCCGGGACACGAACCATGGTCGACTACGTGGGAATCCAGCGACATAGCCATTACGCTAACTGCTGGTTCCCAAGAACATGTTTTAAAAGGGGGTTTCCTTTAGGGTTCTAGATGTATAAGCATGTGGAGCAAAGATCCTCCCCGGTTTGTAGAGGCCAGGAGAAGCCACGGCCACTCTGTTTCTCAGCGCCTCTCCAGCTTCTATAGAAATGCTGGATTTAGAGCTGAGATGCATAACCCAAGCGAAACCACCTCAAGCAAAGGACAAACTCTACCTGTTAGTAAACTGAAGGAGAAAAATGACGACTGATATTGTCTACTTGGGTGTCCAATGTATCCATTCGAAGTAAAAAATATATATATATATTCATGTAAAATGTCTGATAATATCAACTTTTACCATTTAGTCTTACCTACCTTTTTCTGGACTTAAGTGCTAATGTTAACATAGTCCCTCACTCCAGGGACAATGAATCTCTGTGACCTGAGTGATACTTTCAAATTAAAAATCCATTTACGAAACACATTTCATTATCTAGTACCTTTTTCACTCTTTCAAAGTAATCTAAAATGCTAACCTTTTGCCAGTCCAGTATTTCAAGTTGTGACTCACATATTCAGGAAAAAAATAAAAGCAGCACCTCTACTATTCCTCAGTGTGCATAAAATGACAGTCTTAAATTCTCAGGGGCCCTGGGCCATACCCTGCTAACTCCCTCTGCTGGAGCGCAAGTCATACACACAAAAACAGATCACATCATCGAAAAAGGAGTTTAGGTCAAGTGAAAATATTTTGGAACATTATAGATTTCTTGAAAATACAATCACTTAATCATGAAAAAACAAACAAACAAATAATCCAAAAGTAAAACATAAACAAAAACTAAAAACAATTTGCTCCCATACAACCAAATATATTCACATTCTTAACTTTGCAACCTCTTTTAAGGAATCATCTCATATGATAATTAGCTAACTCTTGGGTCCTCTGAAAAGTGACGCTGTGTTTTTCTACGTAAAAATGTGTCGTGACTTTTCCGACAACCCAATATGTCTAGATACGGAACAGCACGGTAGAACAGGTAGACTGATCTGTAGTCAAGAGGTCCCCGACTTCCTGTTTCAGATCATTACAATTCTCACCTTCATTCAAAACTCACAATACCATTAACACATTGTGAATGTGAAGTACTGACTCTTTCACCAGAAATCTACCTGGAAGAGACATTTTTTTCCTTTGAAAAACAACTTCCTCAAAACATTACCTGTCCAGAATAATGAAGCTCAACCAGCCATCCCTGACCTGGATAAGAGTTAAATGAGGTGAAGAAAACAAAAACAAAACCAATCCCCCCTCCCAGAATTTCAATCCTACACTTTCTGCTGTTTCCTTTACATTGAGCTATTTTAAAACACTAATCATTTTGCTCAATTTTCCCTGGAGCATTCTCTCAAGATTCAAGAAAGGCTTATTCAGAGACAAACAGGATATAGAAGTCATGGTGCAGCTTCCAGGCAAGCTATAAATAGCTGCAGCATTTTCAAGAAATCTTGTGCCAGCGTGTACGTTGCAATTTAAACACCCAGTGCAGATTTTATTATAATGGGGTTGCCGAAATCCACTGTTAGATGAGCAATGCGATTCTTACCAAGTTTTCTTGGTTCCTGGCTGCTATTTTCTGTTCCTCTTCTGCCCCGTTTTTCATGTATTTGACCTCTTCCACCGGTTTGATCCTGTACTCATCTGAGTGCCAAAAAAAGAAAATACATTTTATAATTTTCTTCCACTACGGCAGAAAAGCGTCAGTTAGAAAAGCCCAGTAACCTAATGGTTAGGCCCTTCCCCAGCAGCCTTTGTACGTGGTTCGGTTGGAACCATCTGGAAGAGGCTTAACAGGCATCTTCCCTCTTTTCTGAGGTACTCTGCTGTCTACTGGAAAAAGCTCAGCGCTACTAAAGCAGCTGATGAAAGTGTCACTGCCTGGCCCTCTCACTGAGAGCAAATGTCGCAAAGGCAACAGGTTACTCCATCTCTCACTGCAATCTCCACACGCTGGGGCAGAGCCCATAATGGTCTCCTCAGACGGAAGAGGATATTCTTTCCCCCCAAGAGAATATTCGTTCAAATACCCATGGCAGCAATTTGCAGCAGTACGTTCATACCTCCATTTCTGTCTTTTGGAAAAACAAAGCACAGGGGTCCGCCCCCCCCACCCCCGAATCCGTGCAGTCTAAGACCCTGGCCAATGCCAGAAACCAAGGACTGTACTGAAACCCACATACACTGCAGTATTTCTGATCTGACCATCGAAAAGGCTACGGAGTGGCTAAGGGGCAGGTGGTGTACACAGTGTGGGTACACTGGGCACAGGGATTCCTGAGCAGGGTGGGACAGAGCAGGACGGTGTGAGAGTTCATCGCCCTATCAGCACGGTATACAACTGAAAACTTATGAATTATCTAACATCTCTAGAATTTTCCATTTAATCTTTTGTTGGGTGACAACCTGCAGAGGATGAAACTTCAAATAGTGGGCACTACTGTACTCTTTAAGGAATTAGGGGTTGGACATTTTCTTTTTGTGATTCCTGTGTGAAATATGAACAGTCTATAATTATTGCATATAAAATATGGATTGTTTATTATACACACTTTATTTACATATATATTATATATACACACATGCTTTAATCTCTGGATAGTCACGCGTGTGACGATCCATAATATCTAAGCGGTATGTCAATCAAGGCTGGAGAGTACAGTGGGACAGGAAGGCACTTAAACTTCACAACACTGATGCAGGGATACAGCGGTGCAGGAGTGGTCAGGCCCAGCACTCGCAGTGGGACACGGGTTCTTGCCTCACACTCATGAAGAATTAGAGGCATGGACATGGAAGGGGATAGCAAGCAGAGTTTAAGGCAAGGAAGGAAGAACAGAGCTCCCAAGCTGGGAGTGGATCCCAGAAAACAGATTGCTGTAGAGGAGCTGAAGGATGGGGGTGGTTTTTATTTGGGTCAGAGGGGCTTTATCCAAGCTTCTTTTCAGATGGGGCTCATGGCATGCATTTCCCTCACGGCGGGGAGCACATGCCGGATGGGCCTAGTTATTGTGTTCCTAGTTTTGGAGCGGGTACAAGGTCAGAAGATTCTCTGTCTAAAAGCTTTAGGCCATATAAACCACGATCTCCTCTACTTCCTGGAATGAGGTGGGGCCTGGAGAGAAGCCTTTGTCTTAAGTGGTCTCCATCTTAAAAACTTATTCCAGTTGGGGCCTATACCCTAACTATAGTCTTAGGGTCCCTGTCTCCTACTCAACAGCCAGAGAGCACATAATTACACTGTCAATATCAATATGCATCAATATCAATACAGGACAAACTTGCAGCTAAAGTTCTACCCTAGCACAGAAGTTCAGTGATGACGACAATGACATTTTCATCAGATTCCTGTCAACAGGAAATGACTTGGGCATCCTAAAGTCAAAAATAGGTGTCACTTTGAGTCATCTTTAAGCCAATTTATAGGAAAAAATCACAAAAATTATGGAAGTAACAAATTGCAAACAACGAGCTGATGCCTGGGTAGCATATGGCATGGAATAATGTCTAACGATGGTAGGCTCCTTGAGAGACAGATGTCTATCACTGAGAGAGTTCATTTTTCAGCTCGGGAAGTTGCAATATGTTCTTATTAATTATGATTAATTGGGTACAATGACTTCATCCATATATAATTTCTTATCTTGGTATTCAGCATACCACTTTCTAGTTTCAGGCTTCTTTATTCTACCCCTTACTGCACTGCCCCAATGATGCTTGTTATAGTAGTATTTCTCCCAGTAATTGTGCTCTTCAAATGTTTCTCAAAATGATCATTCTTTTGAATGTCATGGATTTGCATATATCTGAATAAAATCTTCATGCTCATGGCTACACCAACTGATTTTTTTCAACCCGAAAATTCATGGTGGTTATTGATTCTGCTTCTTTCGAAAGGAATTAGAAAGACTGGTATCAAGTTACAGTAATGACTACTTTGGGAATTCCAAGTCCTAAATGTATTAACAAGTTACTCAATAGATTCTGATACACAATTACAACACAAAACAATTTCACATTCCAATTTGGTATTTAGAAAAGAAAAAAAAGATGAACGTAAATAATATCGACATAGGGACCAGCAGTTGGCATAACGGCTATGTCATTGGACTCCCATGTAGTCCAGTGGTTCAAGTCCCGAACCCCGTGGCTTAAACTCACACTGGGCACGTGTACGTGTGTGCCCAAGATCCCAAGAGGAGAATGGAGGAGAAGGGATTGCAGCATGGCCATCCTCCCTGGGGGGTGATTTCTTGCTTTCTGTCTCTCTTTCTCCAAAAAATAATAATATTGACATATTTAACAATTATTCATTTAAAAAGGAAAGACACTGATAAATTATGTCTTCAATGCAATTACAGAGCGAGAAAAATACGGGTAAAAAAGTAAAAGTTAAAAGCAGGGTGTGTGGAAGTTAAGGCAGCTGGGTCTCCCCGGACTGGCTGTATGGTTTGAGTCCTGGACCAGCAGCTTGAAAATCATGCTGGGACGTGTGTGCATGCCCAAAATTCTGAGAGGAGAATGAAGGAGAAGAGATTGCTGTATAGCCAACTCCCCTGCGAAGATCATTTCTCACTTTCCTCTCTCTCTCTGTCTCTATCTCGGGAGTGCACATGCTCTATGCAAAAATCGAAAAAAGAAATAAAAGTAAGACTGATCCTCCCAAGTTCAGTTTGGAACATTAATATTCATAAAACATAGCTCCTTCGGATAATTGCTAACATTTAATTGAACTAAATTGTGATCTTAATTGCTTGTGGTGAGTCTCTAATTATTTCAATATAAATAACACATCTATATAAATTTTACGTGTGTGTGTGTGTGTGTGTGTGTGTGTGTGTAACCTCGATGAGTCTATCTACGAGACCCAGACCCTTGCATGACAGTGCAGGAAAGAAGCACAGCATTACAGAAACTAAACAGAACCTGCTGGAAGACCCAGATGGCCCGCAGCCCACCGCACAGCAAGGGTGTCTCCTAGGTAAGGCAGCCTTGACGTCCCCACTGTCCTCTCTGACCCGCCAAGCCACAGCCCCGTGCAGGCCCGCCCTACGCAGCCCAGCAATAGTCAGTCTTCATTTTCTTATCCCCGAGGGAGCACAGCTAAATGGGAAATAGTAGACCAACTATTAATATGTCTCTCCTATTTTTCTCCGATGAAATGGAAAAGCCACTGGCTACATAACTTTTCAAGTGGCATTAGAGTATTATTCCAACACAGGCTTTTTTTTTTCCTCTCTCTTTTTGACATCAAGACAGCGTCCCCACCAGTTTAGAAAGAAGGTGGGTTTTAACTTGTCGTTCACAGCCCCGGCTGGCCAGCTGAGGTAGTAGTAGAGGAACACAACGTGCCTGGATATAAAGAAAGGAAAACAAGCAGGCAAGACAACAAAGCCAGAACTATCATTATCACTCCCAACGCACTGCGCAGAACCCTTAGGGAGCCATAATTTGTACCGAGCAAATACTTAAAAATGGTCTGTCAAATTTCTCAAAGGCCTGGGCTAGGATTGAAGACGTCCATCTGGAAATAGACGACTTGTCACCAAATGTGTCACACATTGCCACGACGATGCAGTTGTGAGGAACGACCCTGCCAACTGGCCTCTGTGCGGAGAAATGGAGCATTTCGGGTTATGACAGGGAAATAATCACCCCCGAAATCCGGTTTCCTTCTTGATGAAAGCACGGGGGAATGGGTTTGAGCATTCAGCCTTTCTCTCTCTCTCTCTCTCTCTGTTTATTTATTTATTTTTTAGAGAGATCTTCTGCTATAGGGCACGTGTGCTTGCCAGAGAGAGAGATAGATAGAGAGAGAGAGAGAGAAAGTGAGAAATCACCCCCCCCCCCAGGGGAGATGACCACTCTGCAATCCGTTCTCCTCCATTCTCCTCTCGGGAGTTCAGACATGCACGAATATGCACCTGGCTTGACTTTTAAGCCACCGGGTGTGGGGTTCAAACCTTGGTTGACTACATGGGAGTCCAGTGACGTAACTATTACACCCTTTGCTGGTCCCTCAGCTTTTCTTTATCATGCCCACACTGGGGACCATGGGGCAGGCCATGGTCTGTGACTAGCCAGAGTGTGCTGGTGGCAGAACATGAAAGCTTGATGAAGAGGAAGGCGGGCCAGGACCCATCTTCCTCTGGCTCCTCTGGCTCCCTCACACCTGTTCAGAGTCTGTCTTCTCCTCCTTGCTCTCGTCAGGTGGTTTATTAAAATGCCAGCCAGGCATCACTGCTGACTGGAATCCCTCCACATAAACAGTTGCAGGCTGTGCTGGTTCAAACAGAGCCGGGGTGGGCCAGCAGGTAGTGTCGTGATTAAGGCACTGGGTTTCCACATGGCCAGCCATGGTTTGAGTCCTGACCCTGGTAGCTTGAAACTCATCCAGGTGCACATGCGTGTGTGCACAAAATCTCAAGAGGAGAAGAGTGGAGAAGTGATTGTAGAGCAGTCATTCCTCCTGGGGGATGATTTCTCACTTTCTCTGTCTGGTGAGCACATGCACCCTATAGCAAAAACTTCTCTCCTAAAAAAAATAAAAAATAGAGCTGGGGTAAAGGCAATGCCTTTGTGAATATCTTCAGCATTTTGCTCCTCAGGTGGCATCAGAGTTTGGCTGGGACTGTTTGATGGCA